CTGCTCATCCGGGGTTGGGGGTGCAGGCAGAGCTGGTGTCTCAGAGTTCTGAGCTGTCCTCTCTCTTTTAAGTTGTCTTTGTATTTATTTATTTTATTTTAAAGAAACACAGCAACTTCATTGTTGGAAAAAAACCCTTTTTTAAAAAAAGATTTTTTTTGTATTTATTTTTTAGAGAGTGGCAGGGAGGGGGAAAAGTGGGAGAGAAATATCAATGTGTGGTTGCCTCTCATGCGTGCACCACCAGGGACCTGCAACCCAGACATGCGCCCTGACTGGGAATGGAACCAGCAATCCTTTGGTTCACAGGCTGGCACTGAACCACTGAGCCACACCAGCCAGGGCTAAAACCTTTTATTTTCTGCCTATGCATTGCTGGAGCCCCCCGCCCCCATAGAAATTCCAGTGTGCAGTGTGACCCAGACATGGAAGACCTGTGTTCTACCATGCTCTGCCTGGGCCTCAGTTTCCCCATCTGTAACGGGAGGTGGTTTCACATTTTGAGCCAGGTAGCACTCTGGGCATGCTTTGGAGGCCCTCCGGGGACCAACTGGGTGGGGTCCTGAGCCCCTATCACCCCAGAAGCTTGCCTTTTGTCTATGTTTTATACAGGATCTGGCAGAAGTGAGGCCTGCTTGAGTGTGGTTGGTAGGGTAAGAATATGGGTGTAATAATTTATAGTTTTAATTTGAACATTTCACCTAAAATGTCATATGGTGTGCTTGAGTGTTGCTATGTTACAGAACTACATGCTTATGATTTGTTACAGAATTACATGCTTATGATTTTGTAATAAAAAAGGGGGTGTTATTTGTGCCAGCCCCTATACATTGAGGTTCATTGAGGTTTTTGTTTAAGGAAAGGGTCTTGGTGATTAAACAAAGAAAAGAAACGAATATCCCTAGAGTTGTAGCGGGTGAAGTCCTCCGCAGGTGTTTGCTGAATGCAGGAAAGATGAATGACTCTTCTCTTGCTGCTCCTTGATGCCAGGTCTGAGTCACCTCTAGTCAGGTAACGTGCCTTCTCCTGCTGTGAGTGCTTTTGCCTGTGTGTCATGTGTGTGCGGATGTGGGGGCAGAGGCCCTGCCTTTCAAGGTGTGTGGGGCGCTGGCTGCCCAGGTTCTGGTCATTGAATTGAGAAGGGGGTGGTGGCGGTGGTGGCAATGAAGGGACTGTTACCCAGCCTTGGCTCAGAGTGGTGGTCCCCTGCTGGGAGGCCACTTAGCTTCTCTGCAGTGACCAGCTGGCCGCTAGCACTGCACCTGGCCTTCCCTGCTGTCCCGTGAAGGGGAGGCCGCCCCAGCGAGGCTCCGCATTCCCAGGGCTCCCCCTCAGTGGGATCCTGTCCTGAAGCTGCTGGCCCCCTACCTGATGCCCCTATCAGAGCTGAGGTAGCCAACAGCCATTCGTTTCCAGGTCTCTGATGTTGCTGCCTGTGCCTCAGTTTCCCCATGGGGACTGGGGGAGGGACAAGGAGGACTGACTTGTGCCAGGAGCTGCTGGGGCAGGACCTCCCTTTTCCTACCTCGCCAGCACTGGGCTGAAAGAGCCCACAGAGGTGGTCCAGTCCGGTCGTTCTCCATGCTGCCAAGTTCAGGGGTGAGGTCTGAGGGGGAGGCCAGTCCCCCACCTGTGCCTCAGGCAGGTTTTAACTAGATTTAGGAGAACTGGCTGATTTTGCAGCTGAAAAAAAAGGGGGGTTTTTCTCCAAGTTTCCCAAATTACGATATAGAGTCAGAGTTCTAGAGGAGAGAATCGGTTTATCCAAGTCCACAAAGAGTCATTAGCTAATAATGGTAAGTCCATTTATTGAAGGCACACTGCGTGTCAGCATTTGATACATGTATGACCTCCTGCACTTGACACATGCATGATCTCCTGCATTCAATACATGTACGATGACCTCCTTCCCGGTGACAAGTCATCAAGTAGGAACAACTGTTATCCCCATTCGGCAGATGAGGAAACTGGGGGACAAAGAGGTGAAATGGTCATGGAGTTAGAAAAATGACAGATTAGGGATTTGAGTGGGGGGGCTGCCCCGTTCACCCGGCTCCTGCACCGGGCAGAGTGCTGCCGGGCCGCCTCACTGCGTGGTGGGAAGGCAGCTTCCAGTCCTACGCCACTCGGTTCGTTCCTCCATCCGGACCTGACTTCTTCAACATGGCCCTGGTCATCTGAGCCAGCCCCCTTTGGTGTGGGGAAGGCAGGAACGGAGCCCTGGGATGTGCCTGCATCTAGGTCTAGGGCTCCAGGAAGAAGGGAGGCCCCCCTGAAGGCTGGAAGACATGGGGGGCTGAGTGAGGCCTTTGTAATGGAGCGGTTGGGAGTGGTCGTGGTGGAGGAACGGCACACTGGTGCACACTTGTACTTTCCTGGGCAGAACTTGTGTGTCACCTTGGCGACCTCGGTTTCAACCTTCAGGTAGCTTGTCTGTAAAATGGGCCTGGCCAACCCAGTCTTGCAGCTTCTGAGTGGAAGTCTCTAAGGAGGTCACAGCCCTGGAGATGCTTTTCTGTCTGTGAAGCAGCATACGCCTGGGACCCGTGTGTGGTTCGCCAAGCAGGTGGGTAGTGAGTTAGCCAGGTGTGCTGCTGCCACCACTAAGCTCATTGGAACAAGGCAAGGTAAACATCGAAACGGCTGGGGTGTAAAACCCGGCTTCTCTCCTTTCTCCCACTCGTTGTGTGTGCAGGGATTCATCCGCCCTCTCTGTGCCTTGCTGCTTGCCCTCTGGACGGTGGCACTGTGGTAGACACTCAACGAGTAAACTGCTTTATAACTCAGCGGCAAGGAGGGGGCCAGGCGGGTAGATTAGTGTGGTGGTCCACCCCACCCCTGGCATGCTGTCGTGGCTGTGGGGTTTCCCCCACAGGCGCCTGGAGTCGCAGCTGGGAAGAGTGGCTTCTCGGGGTTCCATCACTGACCCTCGAGACCTTGGCAAGTCACGGACCCTCTCCTTGCTCCATCAGTTAAATAGGGATGTAACTTCTCTTTCTACCTCAAAAGCTATTTCTTTTGAGAAGCAAGGTCAGTAATGGATGTGAAAATGCTTTGGGGGAAAAACAGAAAGCATGAGACAAATGTAGGAGCTTCTTCCGGCAACCTTCTTCATCCTCCTTGTGCTGCTTGTGTTTTCTCCTCCGGCACTTGGTCTGGTGCTAACCTCAAAGCAGGCACTTAAAGCCTTAATGATTGCAGACAGATGGCCGGCCTTGAGGAGCAAAGGGAGGCCGCGACCTGCTGCTTCTGCCAGTGACAAGCTGTAGGGTTTGGGGCAAGCCCCTGACCCTGTCTGGGCTTCATCCCCCTCCCCATTTGTAAATGAGGATTCCGGCTGGGCCATGTGGGTCTGCCTGGCTCTGGCGGCTCTGAAATGGGAATGAAGGAGGTGCTCCTGTTCTTCCTCACTGATTTCCAAGTCATTTGTCAAATGTTTAGTGCCCGTCCACGCTTAGTCAGGCGCCCAGAGCCTGATGCTGTTTTCGTAACAGTCCTCTGAGGCGCACAGGCAGATCCCTGGCCACCAACCCCACTTTACAGCCGACATTACGGAAGTTCAGAGGGGCCAGGACTCCCGCAGTCACACAGCCAGCAAATGGCAGGGCTGGCACTCAGACCCAGGCCCGAATCCAAAGGTCGCCATCATTCCATCGGCTGCATGGCCTCTGTGTCCCCTTTTCCAGCCCCTTCCTCCCCTTTACCCCGGAGGTGTCTAGTCTCTGGAGTCAGGTGACTTTTAAAAACAGTTTGGGGAGGTCGCTGGGCGGGCTCTTCTCAGGAAGCCTCTCTACCAGATGTTCTATCACCAACTCCCCTTTTCCCTCCAGTGCCCCCGCTTCCTGCCCCTGAGAGCTCTAGGATTAAGGAGAGTGAACCAGAGAATACGCCTGCACAGATTGTCGAGCACGTGGAGACCTCGGCAGGGCGACCTAGATGTTTTTCCTAACCTTGCCTGCAGCAGGTGGCGTGACCCCGAGGGACGGCTGCACCTCTCTGTGCTCTGGCTAGTTCCGTGGAGCGAATGCAGTCGCTAGGGGGAGAGCAGGTGCCCTGGGCAAGGATAACGAGCTGTCCTCGCGCACCTTGCCCCCTCGGAGTTACTGTCTGCTTGGCAGATGCGACTCCGGGGCCGTTGGGGCTGCCCTGCTTTCCCTCCTGGGATCAGGGACCTCGCTCCTCCGCTCAGAAGCCACAGGCTCTCACAATGACTCTTGGCTGTTGCTGGAAGGGAGGTCCCCGAGGGCAGAGGGCTGCAGGCCCGGGACATCCCTGGCTGAGGAAGCGGACGCTGAGAGCCGGGCATCCTGGGCGAACCCGGCGTAATGAGGCGCTCCCCTCTCCTCCCGGAGGCGGGGCTGCGGGTTTCCTCCCCCCATCCCCACCAGCCTCCACCCCGAGGCCCCGCGGGAGCGAAAGAGCCAGGCCTTCCAGAGCGAAAGGAGTGGGGGAGGGAGGGTGTGAGGCCCAAAGGGCCAGGCCCTGAGATTCCGAGGTGGAGCGCAAGTGTGGTGGGGGTTTAGGGGTTCCCTGGTTTGCGGCTGGCAGGCGAGGCCGTGTCCGTAGGTCACCTTGGTGCCCTCCGACCTTTTGCTCCAGCATCTGGCCTCCAGGCAGAGACCGGCATCCACCTGTCCTCCCCGGAGTGTGAGTCTCTGCCCGCGCCCGGTCCCGCTCCCCGAAGCCCCACTCCCCCCCCAACTCCCCCAGGGCGGGACAGGCGGGTCCCGCGCAGAGCAGCCGCGCACCGGCTTGGGACGGGTAAACACCCGGCGGGAGGGGCGCGCGGGCGGGGAGGAGGCTGGCGGAGGCCGCCAGGCCGGGGCGGGGCGCCGGGTGCTGGGGGCGGGGGCTGGAAGCCGGCAGCGGCCCGGCCGGTCGGCGCGGCCCCGTGACGTCGCTCGGCTTCCAGGGATCTCTCCCCGCGGCCCCGGGCCCCGCGCCCCCGCCCTCTCTGCTCCCCTCCTGCCTCCCCTCCGCCGGTGCCCGCGTTTCTGGCTCGCGCCGCTGGCGGGCGGGCTCCGCAGTCCCAGCCGCCCTCTCCTCGCTCGCTCACTCTCCTCCTTCCCTCCCCGGCGCTCGCTCGCTCTCTCTCTTCTCCCTCTCCACCCTGCTTCTTTCCCTTTCCATCTCCTTTCTTGCCTCTGCCTCTCGGATCCTGGTCTCGTCGTTCCCTCCCCCCTTTCTTTCCTCTCTTTCTCTCTCTTCGGTCCCTTTTTGTCCATTCCTCGGCCTCCCTCCCTCTCTTTCGGTCTCTGTTTTTATCCCCGTCTCCCTCTCGGTTGCTCTCTCACCCCCTCCCCCGGTACCCACCCACCTCCTGCCTTCCCTCCCCCTTCGCCTCCCTCCCTCTCCGCCCCTCGCCTCCCCGCCGCTCTCGGCTCCCCAGTCAGCCTCTCCGAACCCGCGCTGCAGCCGCCCGCACCCGCCGCAGGACCGGCCCGCCGGCTCCCCGGAGTGTGCCCTCCTGCCCCGCGCCCTCCCGGCTCGCTGGGACAGCCCTCCCCTCCCCCCACTAGCGGCCCCGCCCGGCCCCCCGCCCCGCGCCCGAGCGCGCCGAGGATGTGAGTCCTGCCGGCCTCTTCCAGAGCAGCAGCCCCTCGCGCGCGGATCCAGAGCGCAGCGCAGCGCAGCGGTGGGCGCTCGCCGGGTCGCTCGGGCCGGCTGCGCCCTCCTGCCCTAGCGGTGTCCCCGCTCTGCTCGCCGGCGCCCCAGCCGCCGCCGCAGCCCGCGGGCCGTCGCCGGCCGGCAGCTCCCGGCCCCAGCGCCGCTGACCCTGTCCGCCGCGGGCGGGGACGCGGGCGGAGGAGGCGCCGCTGCGGAGCCCCCGGACGCGACCATGTCGGAGGTGCTGCCCTACGGCGACGAGAAGCTGAGCCCCTACGGCGACGGCGGCGACGTGGGCCAGATCTTCTCCTGCCGCCTGCAGGACACCAACAACTTCTTCGGCGCCGGGCAGAACAAGCGGCCGCCCAAGCTGGGCCAGATCGGCCGGAGCAAGCGGGGTGAGTTCGCGGCCCCCTCCCCAGACACCCCTTTCTCGGGCACTGGCGCCTGTCGGGGGGTTGCGGGGTTCCCCCGCACCCGGGAGCCCGTTCCGACCCAGTGGAATCCCATCGAGCAGAACTGGGGGATCCCGCACTGCGGGTCCGGCTCCGCTGGGCCGTGGGAATCCCGCCCGCGCAGCCTGGTCCCCCGTGGGGTCGCCCAGGGGGCGTGGCGGCTTCGAGCCGCAGGGAGGGCTGAGAGGTTACGCCGGGACCCCACCCGCACCAAAGTTTGTGTTTTGATTTCAACCCCCCTTTTTGCGCAGTGTGGTCGCAGCTGCACTCACTCGGTCACCGGGGGTGGGGGTGTCCCAGGGCTCCCCAGGGGACGGCGTGTGGAACTGAGGGACGAGGACCCCATTCCTGCGGGGAAGCCGAGGGGCTTTCGGGGTTTTCATTGTGACTTGGCAGCGGGTGGGGATTTGCCGAGTCTGGGCGCTCGGCGGGAGAGCTGGAAAAGCCCGGGAGAGACCGGGACACAGAGCCGGTCGAAGGGGGGCTCCAGAGGCGCAGGGACAATGAGGGAGACCGACAGCAGCCGGCAGAGACTGACACGCGGAGGTGGGGGGTGTCAGTTGGGGGTGGGGACCGGAATGGGCAGAGACCCAGACAAAGCGCGGGGCCAGGGAGCGGGAGAGACCGGGAGCGGGGACACAAGTCTGGGGAGGGCAGGGAAGCCGCTGAAACAAAGAGGGCGACCGACATCCCCAACACGGAGAGGGACCCAGGGACCTCGACAGGTGACCGTGGCGCCGGGAGACTGAGGAGGGATTGAGGAAGGCAAGGCTAGGTCGAGATGGCGCGAGAGGTGGAGGACACAGCGCGAGGCAGCCTCGGAGAGGCGGGCCGGCGAGCGGAGGCTCTGACCTCTGCGGCGGCGGGCAGAGCGGAGAGGGCGAGTGCGCGCAGGAGCGGGTCGCCCGTCGGGCGAGGCCGGATCCGTGGAGCAGCTGCACGTGTGGGAACCGGCCCCTGGGGTCGCTGTCCCCGCACGCACTGCCTCAACTGGCCTCGGCGCCTTGGGTCCCAGACCCGGAGACCTCGGCTCCTCCTTCGGCCCTGCAGCCTTGTTTCTAAATAAATGCGCCCCGGGGTGGGGTGGGTGGGGTGGGTGGGGTGGCAGCAGCCTGGGCTGCGGGGTTTGCGCCCTCTCTGTTTCCTTTTCTCAGAACTGAGTGGGGAAACAGCCAGGGGGTGGGCTGGGGGGGGGGAGTGGCTCCAAAGAAAGGGAACCCGGGCCGAGGCCGAAAAGGATGGGGGCTGCGCGCGCGCAGGGAGCCCTCCTTCCCCGCCCTTCCCCAATCTGCCCCCTGCTCCCGGGCTTTTCCAAGACCCCTGGCGAGGCCCAGCTCGCTCACTTTTCCTTTTCTCCCCTCTTTTTTGCAGTTGTTATTGAAGATGATAGGATTGATGACGTGCTGAAAAATATGACAGACAAGGCACCTCCTGGTGTCTAACTCCCCCAAAGACAATGAGTTAAGGGAGAGGATAAGAATAAGATCGGCGGTAACAGTTATTGGCAAAGAAAGAGCATGAAAAAGGGAAAGCACTTTGAAATTTATTACTAGCTTGCTACCTGCAATGAAATCAACAACCTGTATCTCGTGTCGGGCCAGGAGACAGACGAGGCTGAGAAGGAGGAGGGGGGGGGGGGCTCTGGGCTCCTCTGCAAGAATAAAAATTAAAAAAATAACAGAATCACTATATACACACATATAAAGAAATAAAAAAAGAAGTCTCAGTTGCAGCTATTTGTCAAAATTACTATCCATTTCTTTTTATATACAGTGAATATCACGCAATTACAGGTCTGGGTTTTGAACCACTGAAATAATGAAGCGGCAACACCGGGTGTTTTGAGGTGTTGGCATTCTTTGCTGATTTGGCTGTTCCCAATGTTTACATTATTTAATCCTGCGAAAATTATTCTGTGCACTTGGATGTGAAATGCTGTTAAGTTTTATTTTTTTATGTTGCTATCCTTGGATATATCAACACACACACACACACACACAACAATCGGTACAGATATTCTGTTTTATTTTGGTCATCTTTCCAAGTTATCAGGAACATGTTTAAAACAAGAAGAGAACTTTTCTAAGGAATGATACAGAGAAAGAATCCCTGTTTTATTTTAAAATGAATGGTAAAGCTTGTGTTTCTTTGTGGCTGCAAGCTGTTTGCCCAAGTTAATGCAAATGGACACATTTTATATGTCAGGAAAGAAAAACCGTAAAAAAAAAAAAGAAAAAAAATGCTTGAGCTTTTTCTAACCTCTCTCTGCGGTCCGTCGTGTGAGCAGCCTGTTTTCCCTCTGATATTGTGTCAGTTTATTCTCTTTAATGGACTGTAAAAAAAAATGTAATCACGAGAGTGCCAAATATCTTGAAATGCCAAAAGGCATTTTGGTTTCTTTTTCCCTGTGCTCTGAGTCCACGTAAAGGAATGCTTGGAGTGTCTTTTCTGTTATTTATAGGGGTTCTCTTAAGGCACACCAGCGGCCTGTTTTGCATGGTATTTGCAAAAATGCCTCTTGCGTGAGGAAATCTTTTACCATTTTTTTTTTGTTTGTTTGCAACTTTGGACCTCAAGAGGTTTCTTCCCATCCCTTTTCCTCTTTTCTTAATTCGATATTCTGTATGTTGCACCTTCAACCAGCACACAGGGCTATTTCTCCTATGTACAATACAATAAAAGAAGTGTTCCTGTGTCTCACTCCTCTTTTCTGCTTTGGTCGTGGGGGGCGGGGTGCTGAGGGGGGCTTGCTGTTCACCTGTTGGTTGCAGACAGGAAGGAGTGAGGGGTAGCTCTGGTGGGTGAAGCAAAAAGGTGAAGTGGAGGGCACTGTGGGTGGGGCTCCTCCGATAGGAGGAAAGACAAGCTGGACAGGCAAAGGCCATCCCCGAAGAGCAAGTTCATTCTATGTGGGTTTTCACTGGGCTCGCTCTCCCTGCTTCCTGGAGGTTTGTGCCATGCCTGGTGGGGTATGGAGAGAAGGAAGGTTGGTGTGTTGAGAGGCGGTCAGTTGTTAAGAGCAATGTTTGGAGGCTGAGAGACGGCTTCAAATCCCGCTCCTTCACTTCCTAATTGCATAGACTTGAGCAAGTCCTTTCACTTCTTTAAGCCTCAGTTTGCAAATCTGTAAAGGGCATAATGCAGCTTCCAGCTGCAGAGTCGGGAGGATTTAAGACAACAGCCTGCCTTTCAAGCACTCGGATCACATGTCCACGTGTCCTTTACTGGGGCCACCTGTCCGAAAAGACGAGCCTGAGCAGGAGCCAGGCTCCTCCTCCCCTTCGTCCTGAGTTCACAGGCCCCTGCTTGAGGGATGGGCCTGGTTCCCTGGGGCCCACAGCCTGGGATGTCTCAGGCTTCCTCGCTCTGCAGTTCCCTTGCAATCACAGCTTTAAAATTCTCCTTATTAATTTAAAAAAAAAAAAAGCCCCCGGTTGCGTTCGGGGCAGTTAATAGACAGAGCAAGGCCCCTGTGGGAGGAGGGCTTGGGAGAAGGATTTTAGTTGAAGAGCTGCTGGGAGAGTCTCCTCCTGGACTGTTCTGCATCCAGGAGCCCCGCTGCCGGCAGCTTTTAATGTGTTTGTTGTAAAACTGTCAGCCTGGAGTCACAACACAGCTCACAGTGAAGGGAGCCTGCCTGTGACTCAGACGTCAGGTAAGACAGGCCCTGGGGTGGGTGGGGGGAGAGAGGGGCTCCAGAAGGCCTGTGGGGGAGGGGCGACGTGCCAGCTCCCTGCCCTGGCAGTGGAGGTCCAGCCGGGCAGAGAGCTCCTCATCCCGGTCATCCCATCAGTCGTTATTAGGAATGGCGGGCGAGCTGGTGATGGCGGTGCCAGCGGGATGCTTTGGGAATGCCAGCTTGATTTTCCCAGGCACATGACCCTGTCCCTGAACCTGGCTCTGCTCCCTGCTGACCCCAGAGAACCCCAGCATTTCAGAGCTAATGGGTCTTTAGCCGTCCAGGAGGCCAGCTTTTCCCATGAGAGGAGCGCCTCACGGAGAGTTAGGGGCGGGGCCCACCTTCTGGGCACCATCAATCTGCCGAGATGGGTGGGAGCCATGTGGAAAGGTCATTTCAGAAGAATCGGTCATGCTCGCACCCAGGAGTGATCACCGCTGATCAGAGCACCGGGCAGTTTCAAAGTGTTTTCCCTTCCGTCTCCCATGATTGACCTAGCAACTCTGGAAACCCACTACCCTGAACTCCATTTAGTAGGCAAGGAAATCAACACCCCAGAGCGGCTAAAAGGACGCCTCGTTCACACTAACACTAACAGTAAGCTTTTACTGTTTGACCCACTTGCAACAGCCCCACGAAGTACCCTGATTGTGCAGAAGGAGCCAGAGCTTTGAGACATTAAGTAACTTGGATGAGGTCTCTCAGCTGGAAGTCCCTGGGGGCAGAACTTGAACCCAGAGCCAGAGCTGCAGGATGGGGATGCAGAGTCATCTGGTCCCAGACTCAGGTTCAGTCCCAGCTGCAGCCACTCTCCTTGGGCCTTAAAGATCTTTTTCTTGATTTGTTGTTTTGAGGCTGGGCTCTCCTGCTATTCTGCACAGCGGACAACTGCGTAAGGGGTCAGAGGGAGGCAGGGCTTGGATGTGGTCAGCTAAGGCCCAGAGCTGCCCTCTGCTGGGAAGGGGGGAGTGTGGGAGCCCTTGGCCAAGGCTCAAGGTCCATTTTAATAAGCGATGTATTAAAATGTTCCTGCTGGAGGCCATCCCGTCGGCCAAGGCTGGGTTCTCTGCCCGGGAAGGCAGTCTGCCTCTCCCGAGGACTCCACTCAGCTAAAGGGAATATAAATCTTATAAATCCACTCTAACATTGGGGTAAACATTTGTTGAGAAGGCACTTGGGGGACTGGGTAGATATCAAATTATACCAAGTGCAGGATATCTGGTTCGGTAGCAATAAATATGAAAAAGGCCATTAGTAGTCAGAGGTTGGGGGAGGACGTCTCTGCCTCCATGCGTGGATGGAGCACCCAGGGCTGCATTATTCAAACTCCACTAATTGAATGCTTGTAATAAGCATCCATCTCTTTGGATTCTGCTTCCGCAGCCTGTCCAGGCTGACAGCCGGAAGGAATAGCAAAAAGCACCTCCAAGGGGGAAATTGGCAAATTAAGTTTTAAAGGAAAGAGACTAGAAAATTACTGCTCTCTGAAGGCCACAGATGAGGGAATGAGCTCTGGGAGCCTCTGCAGGTGGTGGGCAGTGAGTTCCAGGGCCCTGAGGGGCCGACCTGAGCGTGGCTGGTGCGGGTCAAGGGTGCGAATTTAGGACTTAGATATCTTGGACTGGAAACTTCTCTGCAATGCTTTCTAGTTATGACTTGGGGCCAATTTCTCAGGTTCTTTGGGCCTCTGTAAAATGGGGGTGCCAAAATACCTACCACACAATCAAGCAGGACCCCCTTTCTCCTCCCCAGCACAGGGCCTCATGCGCAATAAATGGTAGCCATTAATGTGTGAACATATGGGAAGTGCCTACTATGCGCCAGTGATGGACTTTCAAGACCTAGCAAACAGACTTTCAAGACCTTCTGGCTGCACAAGGCTGCTTTGCAGATGGGTTTTTGGCAGGCTGAGGGTACTAGGTGGCCGTGGAGGCATCACCATGGGGGTGGGGTGGGGAGTGGAGGAGAGGGCTTGCTTCTTCTTATCTCCATCAGCTCCCCCAAACCCCCAACAAATCCAGTCCTAAGTAAATCTGTGTGCTTTCTCTTCAAAGCAGTGTCAAGAGACGTCGCCCTTCCCTTCGAACCAGGTTGTTGGAAGTCCTCCCTCTTCCAGATGGGAATGAGCAGGGAAGACTCTGTGCCCCGGGGAGGAGGAGCTTGGCTTTCTGCTTGGGGTCCTACTTTCACAGAAGGGCCTGTGCCAGGCTGGGGGGGGGGAGCGGTATGCCATGGTGAGGAAATGAGAGTTTTCTTGGGTTTGAACATGAAGAGGTTTCCTGTGGACACGAGTTTGGGAGCTTGAGGTTTGGATCCTCCCAAAGTCGGCAGCTCAGATCCTTCCTGTGGCAAAAAAGAGAGAACCACAGGGAACGGGCTCTTGGGTTTGCTTGAAATGCAAACACGAGAGCCGCTTACAAAACAAACTTTCACTTTAGGAGACTTGGGAAGAGAGTACATCTACTCCTGACCCAATTTCCCCCATTGTTCACGACCAATATCACTGTGATCTGTTTTTCACAACCAAGGAACCAACACTGGTACATGACTATTAGCCGAACTCCACGTTCCATTTAGATTTCATTTATTTTTTATCTGTTGTGCTTTTCCTGTACCAGGATTCCATGCAGAATATGTGTCTGTCGGCACCCCTTGGCTGAGACGGTTTCCCAGACTTTTCTTGTTTTTGATGGAATACTGGTCAGGTATTTTGTAGATTTCCCCTAAATTGGGGTTTGTCTGATGTTTTTCTCCGGGTTTGGGAGGAAGACCGTAGAGGTAAAGGGCCATTCTCATCACATCGTATCAAGGATGCAGACTATCAACATGGCTCATCACTGTCAACACTGACCTTGATCACCCGACCTGCCGAGGGCGTGTTCGTCACGTTTCTTCCCTGCAGAGTTCCTCTCCCACAGCCCTTCCTGTGCTATATCTTCTTTGGAAGGAAATCATCATGTATAGTCCTGCTGAAAGAGTGGGGAGCCAAGATCCCTGTCTGAGGGAGGAGTATCTCTATAAATTGGGGTTCTTCAGCCCAGGTGATGTGTGACCCACTTTCAGCCATTCAACTTCACCTCAGTGTTGGGCAGGCCACTGTGGTTTAGATGTAATCGTGAGTTCCAGGCAGACTGGGGTAAAACAGAAATGCCCCCAAAGCCCAAGTCACTGCCTGATGATGACCGATAGATGGGACCTTATGAAAGAGAAAGAGGGAGGGAGGGAGGGAGGGAGGAGAGTGATATTAAAAAAAAAACCACCCTTAATAAAAGCAACTTCCTGTGGAAGGGAACTGTCACCCTCTTAGAAACTATGCAGAAATTTCTCTTGGAAACCTTCAGGCAGCTGCTCTGGTTTATAAAATCTGCCTATTGGAGGGAAGGAGAAGGGGAAAAAAGGTTGTCATTCCAACAACAGAGATTCTCCCAAACCGTGTGCAAAAATAAATCCCCGGAGACGGAGCCGTATCCGGGGAAACCGGGCAGCTGGGCTGGAGCTTGTGGGGTGGCCCCCTGGGATAGACAGCCTGTGTCCCCACCCCCCCACCCGCCCTGGCCACTTCTCCAGTGGGACCAGGAGCCCAGAAAACCCCACCTGGCCCACACCGGGCCCCCAGCCACCCCCTCCCTTTCTGGGATGAAGATTTGGTTGATATTGTTACCTCTCGCATGGGAGGGTCTGTCCTTAACCGGGGGCAGTGCTCACCCATGGGCTAAAGGAAGGTCCTCGACCTAGAAACAGCTGTTGTGAAGACAAACGGTCACTAAGGGGAAGGGAGGTCAGGAGGGGCAGGCTGAAGGGAAGACGGACCGGGAAATGTGCCATGAGAAATCCTAACCAAGTGGTGATGGGGGTGGGTGTGGGGGCCAGACAGTGAGGACAGGAAGTTGTCAGGGACAGGGGTGTCTCGTGAGGCAAAGAGAGGGTGGCTCGGGGCTTAAAGAGTTTGGTTTGGAAGGGTGTTTAATTAATTAATTAGTTAATTAAATCCATGTTCATTCAAGGACTCATCTGTCAGGTG